TTGCTTTAAAATGAGAGTTTAAAATAGATAAATATAGAAATCTGCACTTCTGTATTCATAATCCATAGCAATACACTGTACTTGATTTTTAGTTCAGGTACATATGTACATGGTGAGGCATAAGGTAGGTTAAGACCAGATGAAATCTGCTTCCCCAAGCTGTGAGACTGATAAGCAGTCAGCACAAAGCAGCATGTTTTCAAATAGGGGAAATGAGGTATCAGACTTTAAAAATGACAGACAATCAAGGGAAATTTTACAGTACAATCAGTGGAAGTTATCTATGCATATTTTTATGATTATGGAAATCTCTATATTTATTTCTTTGAATTTCTTAATATGTTCTGCAGACATCTGCAATTCAGCAGTGCTCAGCAATAAGTAAATGAAAACAATTTCACAGGCTTGTCTCAATGAGACTTCGAAATATCTAAAATGGTAAATTTGAAGTTCTCTGTTCCTTCCTTTTTGAATCCGAATTCCCGCCTCCTATACAATCTACATTGATCTTTTGCCTTTTGGAAATCATACTTGTTGAAAAGTCCTCTGTGAACAATGAGATCCCCCATCTTGTTGCACTTGTTTGTCCTACTGGAGAAAGTCTTGTCCAGAGGGCTCTGATGATGACAAGCACTGTGCTATTTTAATTTCAGCCAAGGTGATTAAAAGCACATAAGAATTTGTTGTCCAGAAGACTCAAAGCAAAGACACAGCAGACTCAAAACCAAGGCTGGTTTCAACCCTAAATTAATAGAGCAAGAGGAAACTAATGCTTGATTGATGATAGCAACTTCACTATTTGTTTCTCCCCTTTTCTAAGGAAGACTCACAAAAAGCTGCATCAGCTCTTACAAGTTTTAAGATCCTGAAGCTCCTCTGAGCTATGCAATACCCAAGATGTGGGTTCAGAGAAAGAACTGTTTGGTAACGCTCCTGCTGGCCTATTCCTACACAAGCAAAAGCTTACTTATTCGAAATGAATTTTATTAAAAGGAAGCTCCTGGTTTTGACACACAAAACTAGAAATTTTATAAAGAAACTGAGAGTCAGTCTGGATGGATGAAGTTGCTTCAGTAGATCTATTAGCCTTATTATATCTTGTCAGAGATGCTACAGCAAGTATTTCATATGGGCTCTCCTTGCTAGATGGCCAGTGCTGATTTGTCATCTGGTCTGCCCAAATAGTGAGAAGAAAGCTATAGACCTAGCATAATGGCTGAAATCCTCCCTTACGTTAAGGAGAAGAGGGATATCATTTTAATGGCAGCATCACACAACTATGCTTTTTCCTCCTAATTTGCTTTTAGATGCCCGAGAGATGTTGAGAAGACCAGATACAGTTCATTGAAAACCAAATGAAAACATGACATGAATACGGGTGTTCCTGTTTCTCCTAGCACGTGTTCAGAATACCCAACACCATTACTGAGAGTTCCTTCCAGGAAGCAATAAAGGCAGTGGTGGGTGATTTATTAAGACTTGGCAATTCTTCCCTTGGCCCTAAAAATTGGAAACTGACACAACAATAATATTTCTTTTTTAAAGGGAAGTCATTCTCCTCAGCTTCCCAGTTCAACCCATGTATTCCACGCCTTTCTCACACGGTCTTGCATATGGTAAAGGACATGACTGTAGCTTATTAAATATGGAATACTGTTCTCCTATGGTAATACTGCAAGCAGCAGGTTTCATGCAGGCCCCTTCTAACCTCTGCTTGCCATGGCAGTGGGCAGAATGATATTTTAGCAGAGAATACAAGACAATTCCTTGAAAAAAATAAAGTAGGTGCCATCCTTAAGTATCATCAGCCTTTAGAAAATACTGAATTTACTCATGCCCTCGGTGGCTCTCTGCAAATTGACATGGGAACAAGCACTACTGCTGCAGAGGCAGTCCAGCCATAAATGTGCCACATGAAGAACGAACATTGGAGAATACAGCTCACAGGCACTGAGTTTTTCTCTTGGTAGCTCAGTTTTCTGCTGGATCAATGTGCAGTGAAGGGGAAGCCATGAAGAACAAGAGGAAGGTGGGGGGCCAAGCCGCTGCCTTTAGCATAAGCCTGCTGCTAGACTGGGGTGTAACACAGTGTAACATAAAACCGCACATGGGCTGGCTTGCAGAAAAGGAGATACTTGAGATTAGTTTATTGTCTCTCTCATTTATTGCTTTCTTTGGGCAGCTGTACTGGATGTAGGAGACTGTCTGGCGTGAAAGTTCAGAGATGGAGTAATTAGATTCAATGGCAAGATTATGGATTTTATGCGTGAGCCACCTTTGATTGTGGAAAAAGTTAAAGCATGTTCTCCATAAAGCTTGGGAGGTTTCTCATAACACTAGTACAAGTAGGTAGATGAAGAGATGTTAAATTCCTAATTGTTTCTTTTATCTTTCCTGTGATAGAGACAGAGTTCTGTTTTAAAGACGCACCAAAAACCAGGTCTTTCATCTGGAGTGTAAAATTCATGTGTTCCCTGACCTCGTGTGTCACATGGTAATGAAACAACGTAAATCAGAAATGTTAAAAGTTGAAGTTTGTTAATATTACTGCTGAAGCTTCAGTCTCTTTCCCGGTTAAACTGACAGGTCCATTGTCCAAATATATATATTTACAGATTACAATGACATGAAGAAAAAAATTAATGGACACCCAATGAGAACCAAATGGAAATACAAGTTTCAGATGACTATCTGGAAATTAAAAAGAAAGTTAAAAAAAAAAAAAAGATAAAACGAAAAACCACTTGCATGCATTTTATCTAGGGCAATGTCCTTTCTTTGTGTTGTCCTACTCCTTATTCCAAAGCAAATATTCCAGTGATTCATATTTGTGGGGAAAATTTAGTAAACATCATACATTTTGCATTCTCTTATTTATGCTACCTTCTCGCTTCTTTAGTTGGCCGGGCAGAAGGAGGCACCAGGATACAGGAACATATCTTCCCCAGTTGCAAAAAATTGTCTTCACGGTGCTAAAATCAGTTTTGTTGGTGCTGAGCATAATGCCCTCCATGGATCTTGCAGGCAAAAGGATAGATGAGGAGAGTTCCTACTGATACTGCAGTGACTGCACCAGTACTGAAAGAGCACCCATCCCACCTCAACTCTGCAGCTGTACCTGGCCCCACAGACAGAACTGATGGGCCCCTACAGTCCTCTCCGTTTGTTCTCACCTCGGCCACTCATGTCAGCAGAACCAGCAGGACTCAGTGTGGATCAGAGGTGGTGAGAGCTCAGTGCCATAAAGCAACACAAAGGGCTTGGGAAGCTTGGGACACAATGAGGAAGGCTTTTTCAGGTGCCCACTGGCCTGGGAGTTATTAAAAATAAAAAACAACTTCCCTCTTTCCTCCTCTCTCCTCCCATAAAATCCATGGGGAGCCTCAAAGAGAATCTGAAAACAGGGACATTTCCATATAGCTCTTTTCACAGAAGGAAATCCAACTCATTACCTTTAACTTACAAAAGTCGACTATGCCAAAGCATACTGTGCTTTAGATAATCACAAGTAAGTCTCCTGTTGCAGTTTTTTTCCCATATGAAATAGATTGTGAAAGTGACTGGAAAGTAGTTCACATTCATTTATGTGAACAACTTCTGTCCAAATCTCACCTTACAAAAAATTACTCTTTCTCCAGCAGATGACAGAAAGGAAGCCAGTCTTGAAGGTACAAGGTGAAATCCTGGCTCCATTGTATTCATTTGCTAAATGTGAATTGACTTCAACAGAGCCAGGATTTCCCCCGCAAAGATTCAGCTATAGTAAGCAGGGGAATGTCTGAGTGGCAGAGTAGAAAAACAGGTTTTGGAGCCTTCAGATCCCCATGTGTATCCCCAAGCCAAGCACCTCAATAACACATGACATGGGAATATTGCCTTGGCTGAGCTCATAATGATCAGTTTTCCAACTCAAAAGATTCACATTATTACTAAAGTTTCTGCAGGTCATCTAACAGAGGAATCAAACTTAACAGAGATGAAGTTCTTTTCTCATCTTTACAGACAGTCTCTAGAAAAAAACTATCACTGCCACATCTTGTGATTCTGGAGCTCCATCAATTTTATTTTTGCAACCTATTACCAAAGCAGTTTTCCTTACACTATGCTGACCATCCTGCTTCATGCTGCTGCGAAGATGCCTCTCCAAGTGAGAGGGCTGAGACAATGTGAACTGAGGGAAAAACTCAGATGGAATTCTTCATCTGAATGAAGACAATTGGCCAAAAATGTGAAAAAAAAAAAAATACACAACAGAAACAGGGCAAACAATGCAGTGATTGAGAAAATTCAATCAGCACAGCTTCTACCACCAAATTTAGAGCTGTAATTCCCACAGTACTTCTAAAGGGTATTTGTCATGCAAGACAGAAAATTTATTATGTCTTTCTTAATCCTTGCCTCAGTTTCCAACTGCAAGACAGAAAATTTATTACGTCTTTCTTAATCCTTGCCTCAGTTTCCAACTCAGCTCTCTCTGCGTGTTAATTGGGATGGATGAAAATCCAGTAAGTGATGTCATTTTCCTGAGTTTTGTTTGCTTAACTGCTTGAATTCTAAAAAAGCATCTCCTTATTTCTCCATTCTTGGACACAATGCTGTAGCATGGATGCAGCATTGCCACACAGGATCCAGATCTTAAAGTTGACTGCTAGTAATGCTAACGGCCATAACTTGGCACTATAAGAACAGCAAAGTACTCTATTATAACTTGGCATGTCTGCATATGGAAAAAAAAAATATATATATAGTCAAAATGCCTGTTCTAATGCAGTGTTATCTTACTATGAAATTTGCTATCTTATTTATTTACTATTTTTATGTATTTATTATTTTATTATAACATTATTCATTACATTGCTTCTCTTGTACTCCTTATCAGTTTGAATGACTTATATTCTCTTACACAACTACATCAATACTGGAATATATGCAAGATTATATTGGAACACAGCACATAAACTAAGAGACAGTAATCTCAAAACTACATTTAGTATACTCACTTGAATAAAGGAGTTCCACAAACAACACATTTGTATATTCCTTGAGCTTTATGATGTGTGTACTCCCCCTCAAAGGCACTGGGAAAACAATAACACTACATTTTAAAAATAAACAGAGGATTTTTTTAAAAAATTATTAAAGTAGGTAGGACTTCAGAAAAATATTACAGACAAAAAAGAAACAATTAAAAGTTTGTAGTTGTTTTTTTTTTATTAAATGAAGCAAATAAAGCAGGCACAGGAAAAGGGGAATGTCCTCATTAGTTAGTTTCAGGTGTTAGGTATCATGCAAGAGGAAGCAAATTGTCACACAGTTCAAAGGACAGAACAACAAAAAGGAGAAAAACTGGAATCTTGGTAAGTGAAATGCACATTTTGTAAACACGGAGGCTTTCAAATTTAGTTTCATCCTATGCACTTCTATGCAAGAGGGTTTGCCTTTAGGAAATGTTTTAGCAGTGAGTTCAGATGCTGAGTGAGAGGTGCAAAGCTCTTGGGTGTCTGCCATTGAGATGATAATGAGGAATCAGTGTTTGGTTCGTCCAAGATGGGCTGCCAGGGCAACAGAAGTATTGTAGCTGAAAATGAAATAATTGCTCCATGATTTCAAGCTGCATGAGCCTTATATTTGTAGCTGAAAAGCAATATTACAGCTTTGAGGGAATATTTTTCTAAGTTAACAATCTAAAAGGCTAGGAGGTCATTCATCTAATACGAATCAGCTGTGCTAGTCCAACAAAAAGCCTATGTGCTCCGCAGCTTGTTTTTATTATCCTTTCACCCTTTTTATGAGGTCCAATTTTTTTTTTTTTTTTTTTTTTTTTTTTTATAAACAGGATTTTTAAGAATGACCTTATCTCCGATTGTTTGTGCACATTAAATCACGTTGCTGGTCCCATACACAAGAGGGAGGGACGCGGGGCAGGAAAGCCTCGCAGCGGGGGCCGCCGTCCCCATCCCCTGGCCAGCCTGGGCGGCGGGGAAGCTGAAGGGATGGGAGCAGGACCGGCTCACTCGGCTCGACCAGCAAACAGCTCGCTGTCGGGAAGAGTGCCACCTATTAAGCAGGACCCCATGTGTGGTGAAGAGCCCTTTCAGGTCATGAATGAAAACAAGCGGTTACATCATTAGTACATTTGGATCGGAGGTAAAGCCGGGGCCTTACGCCAAGCTCAATGGTATAAATTAGACAACAAAAATGGTTAGGCCTTGGCAAGTTACCTTCGTGTTGGAATCAGCTGAGAGAGACTTTATTCACTAAAAACAGTCTTGGAAGCAAGTCTCCTTTTTCCTGCAGGATTCAGGGCTGGCTTCCAGCGACTAAAGCCATGTGAGGGCAGTTATTGAAAATTTTTGACATTCCAACCACAAATGAGCCAATAAATACCTTCTCCACATGTGCTTCAAAAAGAAATTGGAGCGGGGTGGAAAAGAACTAAATTATGCTACCTTCTTTCTGCAGCCAAAATGTCTATACTTACAATGACCACCTTCAAAACTTCAGCATCCTGGCACGGGGCCATTTCCCTCGTGGTTCTGCTTACTGTGATGTCTTCCAAGAAGTGTACCTAAACCGCTATTACTTCCACACATTTTGTAGTAAACTAAAAACAGACTCTAAACATAAGCCCTGCGACTTTATAAGACATACAGTGTTCATTATAAGTCGCACAAGACCCCTGGCCATGGCCTCCGTGCTGCAGATGCTTGTCTTTTGGTGGTGTTAATTTGTAGGGGTTAGTAAACAAGTGCAGAATTCCTGGAAAAAAAAAAAGTTGCCGGGGAGGATGAGGAAGCACCAGCGAGAGCAAAGGGAGACAAGAAAGATGCCTGCGTTTCGAGGGATGCGCTCCCTTCGCCCTGCCTTACCTTTCCGTCCCCTTCTCCTGAGTGACATGGTACTGCAAGGGTGTCAGCCGCTTCCTCAGCTCCTCCTGGGAAAAGACCACCTTACAGTCTTTTTTATCCCTACATGACCCTGCAAAGGGAGAGGATATGGGAGAAGGAGCCTTTTTAGCTTAAATCCTGAATAATTGCTTTGGCAGACGGCCACAGCATAGCTTCTGCATTCACTTGTCAATGACCAGACCGGTCCCTAATGCACGAAGAATGGCTCAGCTGAACTGCAGCTGATTATTTTTTCAAATCCAAGTTTAAAAAGAATTTTGCTCGAGAGCCAGGTGATTCCACTGGAGCAGTGACAATGTGCTACAGCCAAAGCCCTTCCGTGTGTTATACGCTAAACTGTTGCGCACAAAATCATTCACAAGAAAGTTACATTTTCCAGCCATTTAAAAAGAAAGAAAGAAAGAAAGAAAGAAAGAAAGAAAGAAAGAAAGAAAGAAAGAAAGAAAGAAAGAAAGAAAGAAAGAAAGAAAGAAAGAAAGCTGCAATATATATACACATATATATATGTATATATATATATATATAAAACTGCAGCTGAAATGTTCTTTACAAGACATCTATATTGGTGACTTATGGTAATGGGCATATGATGTTCAGCTACATCGTCCAACAATTTCATACCCCTTTAAGGTAGCTTTGAATAATGATAGATCTTTAGAATTCCAATCCAGTCATTTAACATTCAGTAGCATCTTAGTCCTTTTTTCTTTATAAAGGTAGCAGTTGTATTTTTCCCTGTTGAAGAGCCCTGAGCGGCAGGTCACGTCTTTATGCAGTACGATGTATCAGGTTCAACAATAAAGTTCCCTTAAAATTAGGGTTGCTATTGGAATTACCCGTCTCTGAGAATCTCGTATTATGCTTAATTCACACAAAAAAGAGTACATAGGGATTACTGTAAAAAACATTTCTATGGAACAAAACTGCGCGTCACATCAAGGAAGAAAAATAACAATAAAGCTGCTTTTGAATGAAAACTCCCAAAGTAATAAGAGAAATGGCCAAATATTAACATAACTTGAATAATCACTTGCAAAAACGAGCTGACAAAGCATGGCAGGAAAAAAGCACTCTAATGACAGTAATTAAAATATGATACAATTAGAAATAAACAGTCCCGACAAAAATATTTTTTGCTAGTAATGTATATACGCTCATAAAAAGACCAATTGTGTTCCCAAAGTAGAGGGAACAGAGCTACCCATCTGTATGTCATTTAGTACAGGAGAGGCAATGGCAGGTTTAAATTACATGGTATTGGATTGCAATTTCCTAACATTGGATGCTTTTCTGCTTTTTTACCTTGAGTCATTACTAAGGAGTGTTCATAAAAAGTAGCTTAAAGCACAGATGCTTGCAAATCATTTAAGAAAAGATGTTTCTTTCTTCCTCCCCCTCTTCTTTTCTCATTTTTTTTAATGTGTGGGGGTGGGTGAGTAGGGGAGAGAGAAAAAGAATAATGCAGTTGGTCACTACTGACTAACCCTAGGAAGTATTTTCAGGAAGAAAAAAGTAAAATTGAAAACATCTGATTGAAGTAAATAGTGCAAACATAAAAAGCTTTACTAGTGAAAGAAAGGTATTGAAAAGCGACTTTATTTCATAAATTAGAAATTACTTTTGATCTAAACATTCTTAAAAACAGATTGTTTTCCACTCTGAGCCCTCTCATTAGCTGTGCTGCAGAGCCCGCGTTTTAATGGCAAGCTTTGAAAGGGCGCTGCTGTACGCCTTTGTTAGCTCCAATCTTATTTAGGAGAGGGATAAAGATTTCATTCCAGGTCTCTTTGTTTGTCTTTCAAGAACCACTAAAGCAGTATTCACACAAATTTTGCAGGAATGTGCCCTGTGCCATAGCTTACAAATTATTTGGTTTTGGTGCACTTAAAGGTCACCTTCCAAATTAGCAAAATTTTCCTACATCCTGGCTTTTCAACCTTAAATGTAAATATTGTTTCCTAACTGTAAGTGAGGTTTGTTCTTTATAACGTTTGGTTGCTTATTTAAAGATGTCAGACTTTGGAGGTTTTTATTCTCACAACGTGCTGGGCTCTAGGACTAGTGAGTCCTTCAAAGAAGAGAGAGCAGGGAAAGGAAGCACACGCATTACATAAATAACTATTGTTGTGTTGCTCTTTGCTGCTCAGAAGGAAACTGACAGCTGCTCTTGCGTCTGATATTGCAGTATCAAAAAATTGGTCTAGAGAGCAGCAAAGAATCCTACAGACCAGCACCTCACTTTGAAAAATATCTCCCAATCGTTTCTTCCAGAAACACCCATTTGCTCGTCAGTTGTTTCAAACAAGAAAACTAAGGGTATCTTCGCTTTGCAAAAAGTCATGGAAAATACTGAACGTTTTGCAGAATAGCCAGCATTCCCTCTTTGCACTCCTTGAATAATTTCTCTTCTATCTCAGAAACGCTGTGTTCTTCAACTAGCAGGCTCACTGCTACTCGCTAGGAAATTTCTGTATGCCACTTGATCCATGACATAGATCAGAAGTAGGGAGCACGTTACAAAAGACTTTTCCCCACTGCTTTTAATAACTAGCCGCCTTTTTACAGTAGGACGAGTATTTACGTCTGTGGGGGAATCTCGCTAATCTGCACTGGGGTAAATTACAACCTGACCCAACAAAGGACTTTCCAGGTTTCCAGTTTAATAGAGCACACGGCAGCAAAAAGCTGTGGTTGCACTACAAATCACAGAGGCAATCTCTCAGTCCAGCCCTCAGCTCTAAGGAACAGCCCTATTCAGGTAGCTGCACTCACTAGCTAACTGCTAGCAGCGACAACAAAAGGTTCCAGAAATTGACTATTCCCATGTTGCTGCAGAGCCAGGGAGGTAACGCAAGGCTCAACCATGACCAGAGAGTGTGAGGATACATTATCTGAATCACACCCCATGTACAAGCTTCAGGAAGATGGCAGGATGAAATTCTAGGAGCAGAGTCCTTCAGCTGGGAAGGAACCACCATGCAAAAGGACAAAAATGCTCAGCCTGCAGTACACGACCAGCCTGCCAATCCAAGGGAAACCAACAAGCAATGGTTGTTAAAGAGGACAAAGGTGCCCTGGCCGCCCTCCTCACCCTGGTTCCCTGCATGAGATACCACCTGCAAGCTATTGTTAATAATTACAAAAAAAAAAATAGCTAAAAAAAAGCTAAGGGATCCTGAAGAGCAACAAAGCTGCAAAACCTTTCTGGGCAACTCAGGCACAAAGTAAGGCCCCACTGTTCCCTCACAAATGGTGCAGCTCCCAGAAGGAGAGATACAATGCCATCAGTTGCACACACAACATGGCAACCGTGTGATAACTCTGACAGTATGGCTAGACTAAATACATAGTGAACATAACTAAGGTTGGGTTCATTCTGTCTTTGGACTCTGAATGGGATCTGACGTTATCCAGAGGTGATGCTCCCTCACCCAGCTGCTCCACTAGGTCCGGACAGGGCTCCAAGAGTGGACTGAATGCCATCAATGATCTGCTTGTGCATTACTCTGGTCACACAATTCACCCTCTCCTTTGGCAGACATCTACAACACTTGCACAGGTTCCATTGCAGGGTCTGAGACCAAGTGCAAGCTTTCCAGTCAGCACAGCATGGTGCCTTCGTTCTCCTTGGTGCTCGTCAAGGGAGCAGTGCACACCACCATTCCATACTCAGTGCTGACACTGACACTCCAGGCCACTTGCCTTCTGTCTTTTCCAGCAGTTCCATCAGCGCTAGAAGTTGCTGGAATCTTGGAACAGGATGGAAAGCTCAAAAGAAAGACCGAACTCACAAATCTTAATATAATATATATGTGTAAATATAAAAAAATAAAGCGCAAGAGGGTGAAACAAACAAAACCAGAAACGCTTCTGGTCATCCCTGTGGTTAGGAATGGCTTTTCTGAAAAGAAATGCAAAGTGTGCTGCAATTTACTGTTCACCCACAGACCATGCACATTTTAGAGTTCAGCCCTGGTGTCTGGAGGCCTTCTGTAAAAAAATGAGGTGAACAGAAAGTATTTTCTGGGTGTTGACCTGATAATGAAGACATTAAGCATATCACCTCACATATAAATTCCGATTTCAATTGACCTTTTCAAGTCTGTGGTTCATAACACAGGCGAACAAGTGCCATTTCCTTCAGTATAACCAATCACAAGGAAACTAGCAACAAGATACGTCCACACAGACTGACATGAGTTCGCAGACCGTTACTCCTCACCATTCAGCCCTTCACTTGCTCCACCATGCCGGAGGTGTCAAGCAGTGTCTGGCGTGCCCTGACATACCCTGGCACTGCGCCTGATGCCTTTCCTCCTTTACATCCCTTTTGAACTGTTCTAATGATTTTCTCTTATGTCCTGTTGCTTCCCATCACTGCAAAATTAACTGAGCGTTTGAGCTCCGTGGAAGACACAGCATACGTTTTCCTCCTTCTGTGCATGCTTATATTCCACTAGCATTAATGGACATTACAGTCATGCATTGAATGCATACCATTAAGGCTTCCTGAATTAAATACTGCAAGATCAAACATTTCAGCAGAGCAGGGCCATATAATAAATCGGGTTTCCAGTCTTCAGTACTATTTCTTTTAACAAACCCAAGCATTCTGAGGGGCCTTCCTGCACATTTTGTCATATCTATACCACCACAGCCCCAGTCATGCAATGGGACCTGTGTGGGCAAACCCCCGAGGGCATGCACAGCTCCAATAACTGCAGAAGGGTTTGTGAGGAGCTCGGAGGACTCTAAGTCCTTAGAGACACAGTCCTATAGTTACAAAAAAAAAAAAAAAAAAATAGCAAAAAAAAAGCTAAGGGATCCTGAAGAGCAGCAAAGCTGCAAAACCTTTCTGGGCAACTCAGGCACAAAGTAAGGCCCCACTGTTTCCTCACAAATGGTGCAGCTCCCAGTCCTATAGTCTAAGGACTAGAGAGCTCTAAGCGTCTCCTGCTTCCCAAAGCTCCTTCACAGGTGGGTCCTACCTCACTCATCCACAGTGAATTATCTCACACTGAAGCTAAAAGGGATCCTGCAAGGTTAGAAAATATTTGTGTATGTGTTTTTAAATTAATATCCTTGCATATGTTATCACCAACAATCAGGTTTATTAAACTTTGACTCTCTTGGTTTCATTCTTTTAAATTTTGTTTGCACAGTTTATATCACCCCATGCACTTTTAGTCTGCACCCCATCAGGAAAAAAAGAAAAAAAAAAGGTGTGGGGGATATGGAACTGTTGATCTAGTTAACAAAAATTAAAAGAAAAACTCCTGAAAATGCAAATCAGTGAAAACAGTTCTGTTAGCTTGTAAATCTGGAAGAAAAAAACCAAGATTCACAAAGCATAGTATTTGGTACATCTTTACATAATCCCATCACAAGCCATTTTAAATCACCTCAGCACGCGACTGCCTAGGAGAGATTCTACAAAAGAACTCTGAAAACTGAGAGGTCAAGTTTAAGTAAAACGCAAACTCTGACATTAGGGAAACCTTGTAAACGTTTTACACGTCGAAAAACAGATTTGTGGTTCTTCTCTGAGGGATGGCTCCTTTGCTTTCTTGCTGTAGGTAGCTAACTCCCATCTGCTGCTGAAATACCATTTGCAGTTTCATGCAAGCATTAGGAGTAATGGAGTGAAGCCCATTTCCACTATATTGTGCGTTGAAAAACCAAAAGCCAGGTACTGGGACAACAGCCACAATATGGGCTCAAGAACAACACCAAAAAATATGTGTCTCAAAAACACTGTCTAGTGTCAGTTTGGTAGTCAGGATGGTTACATAGCTACAAAGGAAGGGCAAGCCAGATCTTCGCAAGTTCACAAGCTTCCTATGCAATCAAATGACAGAGCTGCCACATTTATTTTTTTCACCTGGCCATCAGCATGACTCCTGTTTTATACACACTTATATACTGAGTCATCAGCAAAGATCTTCTGTGTAAGAATACCAGTTTCCTGAGCACTAAAACCCAAATAAACCCACTGTGGTCGCAGCAGGGGCAGATCTTATGGGGCAGGAGCCTGCCTTACTGCTTGCCCTGAGCTGTGAGTGCCTGTGCTGTGGTTACGTGGACAAGGCCAAGGTTACGTGGGTGATGTGTAGGCCAAGGAGACTTTGTTCCCTGCAAAAGGAATCTGAAGCTGCCTGCCCTCCCTGCGAATGTAAAAAACATTCTGCAGGGGCTGGAAGTGTTTTGCATATTGGGAAAGGGGAAAAGAAGCAGCTCCATTCGTCTACTCTACTTCCTTATCTCATATTAATGAAATCAATGTCACTACCAGCCACAACCTCGCTCCCACAACCTTAGACGTTGAGCACTCTGAGAGCAGCCTGCACCACAGGTGGGGGTGAGCACTGATGCCTCACCAGGACAGTGGAAATGGCAGCACACAGCCCCTCAGAGAAGCTGGTGAGCAGAAGCACCTCATCCAACATGGAACAAAAGTCCTTGCATTATCACTGCCACTTCTGTCAGCCCACAACAGCCAAGGACAGGCACAGAGCAGCCAGCCTGCCTGCCTTGCTCTTGGGTGCAAAGCAAGCAAGGCAAGATTGAGATCCACAGGTACAGCAGTGGGAGAGAACATTTATTATGATCTATTTCTCTTCCTCTCTCCTCTAATAGATAAAGAGACTTTTGTTTTGCTGATATAATCCCAGCACCTTTCATGGGCACTCCATCTGTTTAAATTAAAAGCAAGAAAGGCAGAGACTCTTCAAGGAAGACTAGAGCACTCTGTATCTGGTCAGTAGATTTCTGTCAGGATCAATAAAAAGGTGCACAACATATGGAAAGGCATTTTATTAGCAGCAGAATTAAGTTGAATTTAATAAAAGTGCTTTATGCTACCTTTTGCATTTCAGTGAGCCATCAAAATAAGTTTATTCACACGGCTTTAATAAAGGTCTAACCCTGCAGCGGAAACAATTAAAAAGTCAGCATTTGCCAGCGGTTACCGCAGTGCTGTGTAGCTTATTGTAGCATTCAGGCTGTAGCTAAATCCTCCTGCTGCTTCCTCCACAATAGTGATGTGTGGCCTGCGAAATGAGCACTGCGTTTCAAGAACCAAAGTGCCATGAGTGCCTGGGCTGGGGGGTGGAGGGAAGGAGCTGGGGGAGGTCTCCCCTCCGATTCCAAACAACCCTGAGCTAAACCTGAGCCCTCAGCACAGAGCCTGCCTGCCCCGGCCTGCTGCCCCACAGCCCCCAGCCCAGTAGGAGGGCAGCCAGCGGGAAGGCGCCGTGCTCCTGTGCTGCGGCTCTCACTTGGCTACAGCCACCACGGAAATCAACATGGTAGCCCCCTCCCCTCTCAACATGCATCAGGACTAAAAGGTTGGCAGTTGCCAGCTTCTCTCGCTTGCAGGCCTCCTGGGTCGCAATTTCTCTCCACTCCTCATTTTCTCTCAAGACAGTGACCTCCAGTGAGCAAGCTGTGGTTAATGGAGCAGCTGGGCCTTGGTGCTTCCTGTGCCTCCAGACCCACTCAGCGTGCCACCCAACTCCAGCATGTGCACCCCCTGGATGAGGGACCTGCTGGATCATCTCCTCCATCGCTTGCAAACACATTCTTACTGACTCGAGGGTTAACATCCTATCCTTCTTCCTGAACTGCACCTTTTCTTGCCTGCCCTCCCTCAGCTGTGCAGCAGATAACATCTCCTTTCCCTCTGCATGCTGTCATCTCTCTTTCCCCTCACATTCCTGTCTTCTTATGTACTCCTCAGAGAAAGGCCAAGGCTGGGAGTTGCTTTTAATTGAAAAGGAAAGAGTGAAGGCAGCCCTTAAAGGTGTCCTCAGACCTCCAGTCACACCCAGATGGCCTCGTAACTAAATGAGCAGCTTTGTACTGCAGCTTTTAAAGCACAGAAACACTGTCAGCAACAGAACTTCACCTTTTACATCCATCTTTTGCTGCAGAAATGCAGTAAGCCCAAACTGCTCTGGACGCAGCAGTGGAAGGCAGGGAATTTATGAGCTCTCAAGATTAAAACATTCTTGTGAGAAAGGTAAAAATGGCTTGCGGTGAGTCCCCTGTAGGAGTAGGAAGGGAAGCAAATGCCTTAAAGAGATCCATCAGGGACTGTGCTGAGGAACTGGCTCTGTGTGCAGTACCGGGGGCACAAGGATCTCCTCATCCCATGGCTCTCAGCAGCACAGAGCCCTGAGCAGCCTCTGCCCACAGCCTCCTGATACAGAGAGAAGAAGGAGAGGGGTGAAAAAGGTACATAGCCTGCGTACAAAATAAAGTGCATTAACAAAGGGTTTCTGGTCTTCTGTATCATCCCAAGATTTGCAAGCATCAGGCATCATAAGGGTATCACTCCCAGTGAGATATCTACAAATAAATGTCATGTTAAGCTGTATTAAATAAGACATTATGTTAAACTGTATTAAATAAGACATTCTAGACTGAATACTGTTGTATAAAAAAACATTCATAAACACAGGATAACATTTTAAGCAGAAACAACATTAAATATACTTCCATTAAGACAGTTATACAGACTCATTTTTTAAACCATTCTCAAGCCTTTCAAAAAAAAAAAAAAACAAAAACAACTTTATGCTCTATTATGACAATGCAGCATTCTGTTATCATCACTATCACCAAGAAGCAAAACAGAGATACAAACACATTTGTATATTAATGACACACGAACAGCTTCACATGCTGCTTGCTGCTGTGCTCACATAGTGCCTGCTCAAGCATGTGTCAAAGTGTCAAATGGATGGTTCTCCTAATCACTGGGAGGCAGTGGACTAGATAATTGGTAAGACTGTAATGAAGTGAAAAACAAAACTAAATTTTTTTTTTCCAAATTGATATATTTGCTTTTTTTTTTTTTTTTTTTTTTTTTTTTTTAACTTAATTTAGTTTCATAGAACTAAGTTTTAACTTTTGCCCCCCAGTCAGTTCTGAGGAACAAGAACATCCAGCTGAGACCTTGTATGACACATGTAAGCCCAGAGCAAATTTTTACATTCATGTTATAAACCCCAGAAAATAGGGATTTATAATGAAAACACTGACAGGCATTTAACCATAGCCGTACCAGCAGCATTGTTATACGGCAACTCAGTCTCACTTTTATTCTCTTTCAGGACACGTGAAGAGCCACCTGTAATCATACATCTTTGGTGATATGCATTACGGAAAGCTAAGGGGAAGTTAAAACATGAATTAGAGAAGTTACACCTCTGAGCACACAAACATACGGTATGCAACGTTTTCAGATCTACCCAGTGAGCACCAAGGCTGAAAGCAGCCAACATGCTTGGAATGCATGAGACCAAGGTCTCTTCTAGGCCTTTAGTGTTGAGGGCAGATGTGGCAAACGCTGCGTGCACAGATAGTTTCACTGACACGAGCAGTTGGAGAGCTCACAGGGACAAACGCACAGGAATAGCTCCTAAGTGTTTGCAAGATCTGCTCCTCAGAGTAATCCTTTCTGTTTAAAGTTCAGTTTGGAGACCCAGTAGCTTTCTGTTCACTAGCTATTCATTTCAATTTTATGGCAAGACAGTTTTACTGAAACTGAGACTAACAAACATTTAATAAAACAAGTGAGAAACAAGCTATAGATGTTTGTTAAATAAAGACTTACACCATATGCCCAGCACCATCTTCATACAGATGTATTGTATCTTAATCTAAGCCTATAAAAGCATGGTTTCCTACTAGTAGTTATTTTAGTAATTAAACACTTCACAACACTTCAGTGTTATCTAGAACTTTATTATTTCACACGTGTCCTGGAAAGAAATACCAACTGTACTCCTGTCATTTCTTTATCATTACTTTTGCTTATTTTTACAATTTTCTTTGATCCACAGAAGAGGAAAAGCCAAATTGTCTCATGCAACAAATGTGATGTAAGCAGCATAACATTCAAAGTGTTAAAGGAATTTTTTTAAGAAATGAGAACCCATACTAATTAAAAGACACGGCAAAGCAAAGTCAGATAACTTTTTACTTTGTATCTCGGTGGTCTGCTACAGAAAACATGTACTTGGAATCTGCACAATCATTATTTCTATTGGTTACTTGCTGTATGCTCTACAGCAGCTGAAACAGCTTTTGGATTAAAAGTTTGGGGTTTTTTTGTGTGTGTGTTTTCAAAAAAAAAAAAAAAATTGAAAAAAGAGGGGATTTAATTTCTGTGAACTAAATGCTGGCAGGTGCTGAGTGCATCCCACATTTCTTTGGAAATTTAGAGCATTCGACCTCAATAGGGCAGCCTCAAGAAACAGCATCTCTAAATCACACAAAAATACAATGGAGCTGTACTTTGCTGGAAATGAAATCTTGAACCGACATGGTTGAGTCTGGCTATGAGCGCAGATTTATGTGATTTTCCCAATGGCCATGCGTTTACTAAAATACTTTAAAATATTCCGAAGGTCTCGGGGTGTACTTTACGTATGAATGACCACTAAACGGGAAGCTTTTCATATAGCTCGGGTTGTGGAACAGCATATGCTTGGTGCCATCTACCGGGGCTGCTGGGCTAGGGCCTGGCGCTGCAACGCTGTAAGCAGCGCACTGAGGGCAGGCAGCACGATGGATTTGCACACATCGAAACATTTCGTCCTAGCTTCAGAAAAGAAATATTTTTAAAAGACCATTTAGAAGAGTGCGCTCACACCACGGGTGCTAATATACAAATGGAGAAAGAGAACATATAAAGACTTCTCTGGCACTAGGATTAGTTTGGTTTACCAGTCATCCAGCATAACCTGCACACGCTTGCAAAACAGCATCTGAGGGAAAAGAAAGATGCACACTGATCTGAGGTACTTCTGAGCATCATGCCATTCATTTAGCTTGCTTCTGATCTGCCCCTGTGACTTTGTATTAAGGACAAAGTACACACAATGTGACATCATTTTGTTCCATGAAGGACGGACAGAGCACTGAAATGAAATCATACTTTCACATTGAAGACCTTGTCCTGTAAATGTTTAACTGTCTGGAATTCAGAACAGTGCTGGGAAGCTCAGCTCATACCTAAGACAGTACTGGCCTCAGCCAGAGCCTTTGGCTTGGCAGCAGAGCTCAAGGCTGAAGTCCATGCCAGCACTTTGTTCCTTTGCACTGAGTGGACAGGGGTTGCAAAACACAGACTGTCTCCTTCCTATGAAATCTGCCATTTGGCTGGAAGCAGGACAAACTCTGCACCATTTGAGACTTACAGGATCCTTGGCCTGAAGTGATACCGTTGCTGAGCTGCAACTCACAAAGAAAGGGCTGGTGGGAAAAGCACCAATACAATGTAATGGTAGAAAAAAAGTCATGAGAACTTGGGGCGTTTTCTGTATATTCAAAAATGAAGTCACAGTGGATTGTGGCATTCAAACAGATGTTGCCTCCAGATCTCATTCCCATATTTAATTTGATACATGTTACACCATTTACTTGTAACCCCCTCAGTTCACCACACACAAAAAAAAACAAACCAAAAGCAAAGCAAGTCTACATTAATTTATAAGCATCTGGGGAATTCAGATTACTCTTAAAATATGTGAGATATGTGATTGTATATTATTCCACTGTTAGCAGATGAATTTTGGTTTAAAATATATACATAAGTAGGGTGGAACTCGTACTATTGATGCTTGCACAGTTACAGAGCAAATGCACACGAATAGGTAGTAGCGCTACCAACTTCTGATTCCAAAATTTGACTACAGCATTATGGCAGTAAAAGGATTGGACAAAACTGCCAGCACAATACTTCACCAAGAGGTATGCAGTAGAACAGCCTCCTGCAGACGGTGTTCCCAGCTCGCCAATGCGACATCCCCTTTGCAGAGCAGGGACAAAATAACCAGCACAGCGACTGTCCCCGTGTTGGGGCAGGCCCCGGCCATGTGAGCGCACATCAAAAGGTGCATCAAGAGGGCTAAGGAAATTTGCTTATCCTGTATTTTTAGGATTTAAAATCTGGCAGCAAATAGAACAGGAAACAAAGGTCAGACTGACACAATGTGGGCTATTCTCTCTCTTCCTCAATATGTGTTTGTAGCTCCTATCTAGGTTAATGGGAGTTTTGTGCACATGTGGGGGAAAACAGAACACAAATGCTGCAAAAATTGGACTCAGATTTAGTTCAAATAGAATGTAATCAGCTTTAGAGAGTCCATCAGCTTGAAAACTGATGTCTTATCACTGAAAAAATCTTTAGAACATCACCTCCATATGCTTGTTAAGTACAGCTCTAGAAAAAAGTGCTTATAACATTCTGTACCCTTATGAAACAGTTGTGTCATACAGACACCCACGCTGGTTCTTATTTGATGTTTCAAACACTGATCAGCCAGGATCTTATCTTTCTTCTATCTAAGTGTCAAGAAAATTCCTAGTAACAGTCAAAATTAACTCTGCAGCTTGTATTTTCTCTCCCATAAGCATGTACGCTGGCATTATTAGGCAGACATTGCAAATACTGTTGTTTCAGTGAAATACAAAGTACTGTTGGGTTTGAGGTACAAATCATTCAGGATGGGCCTTGTGGCAGCCCTCGCAGACCTAGCAGCAGGCCTTGGACATTGCTTGAGAAGTGCAGTCGCACTGGAACATGAGGTTGCATATTTCCATTTAGTTATTTATTTACTTGCACAAGTGTCAAGCCACTAAATATGCCGTCAGAGGGGAAAAAAGAATTACACTTCAAATTCTGAACACTTTTTATACATAATTTTCAGTGTAATGTATTTAAGTTACATTGAAACTTTTAAAAGGGAAACATTCAATGCAACCACAGCGCACTTCTGAAGATTTTGGAAAGGCTGTTCTCGGATGCAGCTGCAATTCAATGCTGAATTCCAGTAAGTATCTTTTGGAAAAAATTGCAGACAGCACTGAACACAACTGATCTTTAATTCCACTGCTTTTCCAACAATGAGGAGAATAAAAAAAATTCAATTCAGAATTTGTTGGACAAGGAAGCTGGACAGCACTGCCAAGCAGAGTAAAATCTAGGCTATGGAAACCCTCAGCCAAGCCGGTGACTTTAAAAGAAAAGCAAACAAAGTTCTGGTTCCAAGGCAAATTTAAACAAAGCAGAGCAACCCATAGCACAGCGTTTCCTGCAGCAGAGACACCCATTGCTAACGGGCCTTCATTACGCATGACACGACAAGCAGCACCCATTCAACCTGAGGGAAGCCCACAGGCTCGCAGGGCCACTGGCTGGCTCTTTGTCACCAAATGCAGCAGGTTGAATGCAGACATCACTGTGATATCCTCACCAACAAAACCAGAGGCAAACAACAGGGGCAAGAGCTGAGTAGGGAAGAAAAAAAAAAAAAGAAAAAAAAAAAAAAAAAAGAAAAAAAAAAAAGATGAGAACAAATTAAAACATCAAAAATGTTAAGATACATTCACAGAAAAAAACAATGCTTACAAGTTATTCAAGACCATCACATTCTAAATGCACCTTTCTTGGTGGGTTTCTTCTGCTCCCCCCGTTAAGGTTTCAGTACGTATTACACAGCCTTCTGCAGAGCAGCTTTCTGAGCCACACGTGAGGGAGGGGATATCTTTATTGGAGGCCTTTACAGCAGATGCTTAGGATCCCAAACACTGAGCAATGTGAGGCAGCAACTTGCACGATCACAAGTGTGGAAGCCCTGAGGGGTAGCGCTGGTGGCCCAAGCTAGATGGCAGGACTCCTGCTTTCAACATCCCATAATGTGGCAGGATTTTCCTTTTTGTTTTGTTAAAAAAACCAAGCTCCACATTTCTGAATGGTGAGCGCAAGAAATCAGTCACCGCTAAAAATTGTTCTTTTGATGACTCGTCTGAACGTGACATCTCACTGCAATAAACTTGCCAGATATCTCAAACCCACGACTTCTTGTTTTAAAGGCAGGAAATAATTTGCATTGTAAACCGTCCGTGAGATATATTTAAACAATCCTCTGGCCAGTTTAAATATAGAAAATAGAGAGAGAAGGCACTCGCAAGGTTTTCTTTGGGACGGATTTAAACACCAATTGCTTCATTTCCCCGCCATGGGAAGGAGGACACGCAGCTGCCCGGCAGCACGGCCGCAGCAGGGAACGTGACACAGGATGCAGCAGCACGGCACTCAGTGATGCCGGAGGAGCAGCCCAGGCCAGGCGGTGAAGCACAAGCGTGGCTCCTTGCGAGGGCCTCCCCTCCGTGGGGGCCTCAGCGCCCGGCTCGTGCTGGGCATGGTTTCACGGCGGGCATTTCCTGAGGGAGGGGGGAGGCGATCGCAGCCTCTTCCGACCCCCGAGCAAGCAAACGCGTAGCGCACGCTGATGTATGTTACCGCATCGCTCTGGAGTATATCTGAGGGAAAACTGCTTGTATTAACATGCCTGAACTCTGACTTCTCCAAACTAAACTCGCTGCAAAACCAAAACATTTTTGTGTTACTAAATGGAGGCAAAGAGGAGGGGGAAGGTAAGTACCGCACAATGAACAGCCTGAGAGAGCCATTAAACATAAATAAACATGTCATTTTCACGAGTGACTGCAGGACCGGTTTAAAAAAAAAAAAGAAAAAAGAAAAAAAAAAGAAAAAAAATTCCTCCAGAGCAGACTACCGACTAATAAAAGATCAAAGGTCTGTCCGTAACGAACACTACAAATAAAAACGTGACTTTTTTTTTTTTTTTTTTTTCTTTTCCCAGCGACCTTCGCTGCCAGGAATAAAGTGCGCAGTGAAAGCGTAATTACCCGGCCGGGCTGCAGCCTCGCCGCGCTCCCGCAGCCGGCCATAAAACCTTCCCACCCTGCCCGGCAGCGCAGGCCTGCCAGCCGCGGCCATCTGGCTTGTGTCAGTGCCGGCGAGGCCGGCGGGAAACGCGGCGCTGAAGTCACGGCGCAGGTCAGCCGGGGAACAAAGGCGCATTTTGCCCTTCAAAAGCTGGGGTGCCCCAGCAGCGGGGCCCTCAGCCCGCCGGCGGGGTGATTTATGGCTGTGCAGATCCCGCTGCTACCGAGACTGGCCGGCCCCATCTAGCGGTCGGCACCGAGAGAAGGCCTTGAGAAGGGAGGCATGGTCAGGGACCACCGTTCGCCCAACACCAAGCCGGGCCAGCGGGGCTCTTCGTCTCCATGCTCGAGCCCGCCTCAAGCAGACGTGTTGGCCATTCGGCATCACTGCGAGGCCTCCTGGGCTGCCGAGGCGAAGGTGGGTGGTGGGGAACAGCCCCAGGTTGCCCAAAGTCACGCCCTGCCCTGCCTGTGTGTGGGCATGTGCTGAGCAAAGTCCTGACTACAAGCACAGCAAGGACATCTGGTCCCCAAGGCTGACGTTCACGTCACGTCACAACCCTGCTCACTGCTGGGCTACAGACCACCAGCTGCTTCAGTGGGGACTGCGTGTCAGCAGAGCTCACCACGCAGCTTCCTGACGGCGCAGTGCCGCCAAACCCAGCAGCACAGAAACCTTCTGTCCCTGTTGCTTCAAACTGGGAGCATTCTCACCTGTGCTGGAGGCCAGAATGCCAAAAGGTAGCCAGACTTACTCTCTCTCCCACCAGCTTCTCACAGGGAAGCCTTGCACCTGTCTGTGAAACATCTCCCCGTGCAGCTGGGTGTAGGCATCTGGGCGAACACAAACGCACCATCGTGGCTCTGCGGTTCATCTGTGCCGCTGCATGCTCCATCAAGCCTACCAAACCTGCTTCTTTGTGGCACTGCATTTACCTCTCCAGAACAAAACTGTTCTCCTCCACCTTTCTGTGAGAAGTAAATGGAATTGTAACTCTCTCAAGCGTAAGCAGTTGAGAGGAAATTATATGAATTTGCCAAGGATTAGAAAACAGATCTTGACCTCTTGAAAACGTCAAATATCTCAGCGTTCACCAAAATGTTGTTATTTAGTCTCGACTATTTGTAAAGACTTGGAGGATATAAGTCCTGAAAGCCCAATAAAATATAACCGAGCATTCAAGAAAGTATTTTATTGCAGTTAGCATATTTTATTATTTTATCACTGACGTTTTGATTGCTATTTTTACTTACTCTGCACATTGCAGCAGTGCCCAGTAGTTTCAAGTAGGACTGGGACCTCCCAGTGCTATGTTCTGCATACACAGAACAAAAATCCCTGCTGCAGGGTGCTTACAGTCCAAGATCAAAAACTGCTCGTAAAGAATTAGGAAAAAAAAGAATAAAAGCAAAACCATTACTATTGATAAATTTGGTGTGAACTAGCAGCCCTGCCTGCTGATTCTCTGAGTACCAAGATCAGTTTGATAGAGAACAACAGTGATGTAGTCTTGCCAGGTAAGACCTTTTCTCTGCTCTTTCAGCAAATTTGGCTATATGCTTCAACAGGTTTAGGAACTGGGTTTGCATTTCAGCTCTATTAGACATAAAATCAACAAACACAGGAATGAGGCACCACCCTGAAGTATTGTTGCTGGTGTTTAACCTCAGGTGCTACGCCCACTTGGATCTTTGCTGAGCCCAACAAGAGCCCTACACCACTGCCGAAGGCACCAACCCAGCCCTAGGAAAGCCAGCAGTGCTGGCACAGCATTCTGCCTTGTCAACATGTCCCTGGGGACACTGGGACTGCATGGCCTCAGCCATCATGCATTTGAGCCAAAGGAATGCTGCAGTACTGCACTCCCAACAAGCAGGCTCATCATCCACATACCCCACTACGTTTTCCTGGTGGGATAAATGCTCTGTGAAGAGCCCAGTGCAATACACACAATCCAGGAAAGGGGAGGCTGCTTTCTTTGAAGTCACCTTTGGTCACTGGTGGGGGATTCCCTTTGCTTTTGTGTTGTTTTTTTTTTTCCTGGGGGAAAAGTATGAAGATCCCTGCAGTTCTGTCCCAGCTCTGAATGGAGGCTGCCCCCAAAAACCAGGACACCACTGGCTCTTCCACAAGTGTCCTCAGGTGTCCCTCCATAGTGTGACCAAGCTTCCTGGAGCCTCTTCCCTGCACTTCCTCCTTTAATGAAGTACAGAAGGGGACAGCAGGGAGTGCATGTCTGCCTGGCTCCTGTGATGTGGGCACAACGCTCAGTGATACCTTGTGAAACTTGTAAATAACAATCATACTAGTCTAGTGGTAGCCGTGTCATTAGTTGGAACTGCAACCCAGGAAAGCCTTTGTTTTAGGATGCTGACATCCTAATGTTGACAGATGGTGAAGTACTGCCAGCTTTCAAGAACTTCTATACCTTCAAATTGCAAACGTTGGAAGAAACTGCAAATTAGCCCCCTCCACCCCCCCAAAAATAACAAAAAACACCACATAACCATAACAGTTAAAAAATGTAGGGAGTTGTGATTTGTCAGCCTCTGCCTGCAAATAGAGAAATTTCTCTGCGAGAGAGGCAAGCTGAGAGAGAAAATTTTGGTATGATCGTATGTTGCTTTTAAGAACTGCAAGAGAAACACCAAGGGTCTCGGGAGCCCATAACACTGTTGTTTTTACCTTTTTCCATATTTAGTGTTTCTCCTGAAAATTCAGGTCCAGAATTCCTAAAATTACATGGGAACCCCAGCTCTCAAGAAACATGTGAAGCTGTAGCCCTTTAGTAGTAAACTAAAAATTAGCAGTAAAGCAACTGGGCACCAATTCTTCTGGGAACAATCTTTTTTTCTTGCACCAATAACGAGACCTCAATAGTGTGAGACTTCGACTTGTTTCCCAATTTCCACCCCCTCCCCCCTGGTCCCAAGTCTCTGGCCCCACTCTGAGGACAGGAAACAATTACAGATCCCGATGTTTGCTAGAGAGCCAGGCTCCTATGTCAGGAATTTCAGAGTCACTGGACAAAGCAGAGGAGCAAAACCACTGCCATACTGGAGACACCCAAACAACTAGGAATCACAAGCAAAGGCCTGTAAGTTTTCTACAGTCCAGTGTTACAGTGACGATTTAATTTTAATTCGTATTTGTTCTGCTAAGTTTCTCCAGTCAAGCAGTTGCTTTAGAAAGGCTTTTTTTGTTGTCCTTTCTGTTTGGCTTTGACATATATCAGACTATAAGCAAATGTTTCATGGATAAAATGTAATGGAATATTTAATATATACATTTATTCCAGTCTTAGTTGTCTTTGGACCTTTTTTTCTAATTTGGCTTTTGGTTACCAAAAGTCTGCCAGGCAGACTCAGCAGACAGGAGTGCACAATCACCAGGCACTGCAAGAATAAGAAGCACAGCCCTGAGAGAGCCACATGAGCAAACGTCTCAGCATGTCATGGGTTTCTGCATCTAAGCAGCTGTGAGCCCCTCGCCATTTTCCTTTAACACACTCACTGCAAAAGCTGAAGGCCCGTGA